TTTATTGTTTTCAAGTATCAAAACAATCAAGTTTTACTATTGTCAAGTATCAACAATCTATTTCAAATCAAGTTTTTATTATTATCAAGTATCAACAATCAAGTTCACATCAAGTTTTATTATTATCAAGTATCAACAATCAAGTTCACATCAAGTTTTATTACTATCAAGTATCAACAATCAAGTTAACATCAAGTTTTATTACTATCAAGTATCAACAATCAAGTTCACATCAAGTTTTATTACTATCAAGTATCAACAATCAAGTTCACATCAAGTTTTATTACTATCAAGTATAGGGTATGAGTATATAGCGAGCGAGGACTGCGGTAAGCGTGTAGATAATTGCCTTGAAGGTTAACACGACAATTAGTTGGCGAATTATATGTGGGGTAAAGGGTACCCATAGGGTAAAGGCGGCCCCACTCTGTTATTTATAAGATGGTGATTCCAATAGGTCAGGGGCTTCTATAGATTAGTTATGGTTAGGTTAGTGCTAAATGTAAGTTATGTTATAGGTTTAGTTATGGTTAGGTTAGTGCTAAATGTAAGTTATGTATAGGTTAGTTATGGTTAGGTGCTAAATGTAAGCTATGTATAGGTTAGTTATGGTTAGGTTAGTGCTAAATGTAAGTTATGTATAGGTTAGTTATGGTTAGATGCTAAATGTAAGTTATGTATAGGTTAGTTAATGTTAGGTTAGTGTTAAATGTAAGTTATGTATAGCCCTAGTTATTGTTAGGTTAGTGCTAAATGTAAGTTATGTATATGTTAGTTATTGTTAGGTGCTAAATGTAAGTTATGTATAGGTTAGTCATCCAGTTAGGAACACGTAAAGGTGTAAGTTATTTATTGATTAGCTATTTGATTTAGTTAGTGCTGTGAATTATTTATAGGTTAGTAATAAGGTTTATGGTAGTGTGGAATACCAAATTATGTATAGGTTAATTTACACCATAGGATTTGGTTCCTGCTATCTAAGAATTTTTTTTATTAAATTGTACTTATGACTACTAGTGTAAAATAACGTATTTTTGTTTGCAATTTCTAAGCAGATATTTTGAATAGGTTAATGCTAAAGCGAGTTATTTATAAGATAGTTATACATTCAAGCGAATGCTAAAAGTTATTTGTTGCTATGAGGCGAGAATGGTGGAATGTTGGGGCGGGGTGGGGGAGGGTGGGGCGAACATGAAGGGCTGTCCGTTCATTATCTGCTAGAGTTTTCTGGTTCTATCAACTGGGTCATCAGACGGGTCATCAGGACGGGTCATCAGACGGGTCAAGCTACTGACCACAGGGAAGACCGTCTTGACCACTCTGTCCCACAAAGAACGATAACTCCAGTGGAACAACTCCATCAACACATCATTTAGCTACAATTAACATACTTTTATCAACATTCCTACAGTGGGCTGGCTAAAGGTCGCGTGAGTTCGTTTGTTGTTCGTTTTGTTTGTTTGTTTTTGTTGGTACAAAAACGTTTAAGACAATAAAGTATTGTGAAATTTTTTCTCTGGATCGCTGGTAGGGTTTTTTGTAGGATTAGGGGTTAGGATATGAGATAGACAGCAATTTGCCAGTGTTATAAGGGGCTGTTGTTAAGGTCAGTGTCGAATAACTAGAGATTGTAGCAAAAACAAATAGTTTCATGGACGTCCGGTCGAATATTAGGGTGAGGATTTGCGATGAACAGCAATATGGCAGAGTAATGACTAGGGATATAGTTATGGTCAGTGTTCGAATAACTACAGAGATTGTGGCAAAACAAATAGTTTCAGAGATATCAGGTTGAAAATTTAAATCAAAAACATAATTTTTTTAATTCTCTATAATTGGGTTTTTACTGGAGCCTATGACTATGTGTGAGATAAGAAATTGGTATTTTATCAAGGAAATTTATTTAATTTGAAATGGGTAGAGTCTATCAAGGGAGTGTCGCTAAAATGGGAAATGGGTTGTCTATTGTGGGAATGTATATGATACTTAAAACTGGTAGTCTATTAGGGAAATGTAAGTCAATAATGAAATAGGTGTTTTTATCAGGGGAATGTACGTTATATGTGAAATAGTTTGGTCTATCAATGGCATTAATGTAATATTTGAAATAGGTTGTCTATGGAGGTAATGTATGTGATATTGGTAGTCTATCAATGGGAAATTTTATGAAATGCGTCCGTCTATGAAGGATATGTATGTAGAATCTGATGTGGGGTGGTATATGTAGGTAATGTATGTGTAATTTAAATGTGTGGGTCTATCAAGGCGATGTGTGTAAAATGTGAAATGCGTGGTCTTTAGTGAAATGTATGTGAAATATGTAATGTTAGTAAGAGAACGTATGTGATAGAAAAATCTATCAGGGCTAGTTAGCACTAGGGTGATTAAACTACCAAGGTCTAGTTTTTACGCTATGTACGACTGTCAATATGGGATTTCAGTCTAGATTATGGTTGGTACTTAAGGCGCGTGGAAACTATCGTAAAAGGGAGATAAGTCTACGCCACAACGCTTACAACAGGGAGGTAAGCCGTGTATGCGGGCTGTAATTGTTTTTAACCGGAGAATAGATGGGATAAACTAGTATTAACAGGAGGTAAGGGGGAATAATTGTGTCTGCATCTGTGTTCATAATAGGGAGGTAACTCGTATAAGGGACTTAAATATTGATAAGGAAAGATACAGGGTTTATAATGGTGTAATTGTGATGTGGGGGGGGGGGGGGGGCGAGGGGAAATAAATCAATTTATGTCGTTGAAAAAAATGAATTATTTTTATATTCAGTCGCAAACAGCTGTGTTCTAAAAAAAAACAAAGTAAAATTTTAGCTAAATAAAACCTTAGCTAAATTTTTAAAATGTGTATAGTGCATATAATCATAATTTCACAATTATTATTATTCATTGAATTAATATATAATATGTCTGATGAAATTAAAAACAGAGGAAATAAAAGTGGGGAATAAATTGATCACCTTTTTTCTGCTGCAATATACACATTTTTGTAAAAATTTTGTATCAAGATACTAGGGTCGGCGTGGTCGAGTCGGTAAAGCTCATGGTTGCAAACCGAAAAGTTTCAGAGTTCGAACCCTCGGGCACATGAGCCCCTTGACTTCTGGGAGAGACAACTCCAAAATCAAATAGCAAATTCAAAAAGAAAAGCAGGCTGAAATCGGAGTCAACGGCCTGTATGGCCACATATCCAGCATATACTCAATTTGTGTTGGAGGGAATCTCTTCCAACACTAAAAATTGAGAACGCTGAAGAAAAATAAGAATAATGTTACAGACTAACGATTAGAAAAAACACTGATCCAATTGTTTTTATTTGGAAATAAAAGTAATTTTTGTAATTCCCACAAATATGATTCCGAGTTCGAGACTTTCAGGTTAGGCAGGCATGAGCTCTGCTGTCCTACCAACCCGTCCCACATTGTTACTCAGGGAGTCTATTTACCTGTAGCTACCAGAGGTGACGTCCATCTACTCTTTTTTGGGTCATCATTAAAATGACGACGCCATGCTTCGTCACAAAAAAGCAGACACTTCTAAATGAGTGTTCTCCCCCCCCCCCCACACACACACACCTAAACATAATACTAACCAAAACTTGTTTGTCCTTTTAAAATACTAAACATATGCTTTGTCACACACAGTCTTCAGCCAATACTTTGTTATACTTTGTTACACATTTGTTACACGTTTCCTCACACCATCACACACACAACCACTCACGCACGCGCAATACCCACAGGATAATGACGTCACGAAAGATCCTTTAATCCATCGGTGAGCAAATAAAATGCTTTTAGAGTTCCAAACTTTGGGGTAGAGTTGCTCTACAGTAACAAAGCGCTTAACCTTTCCACCAACATGTAAAATATTATCCCAATTGCCTTGTCGTTTTCTAAATATTTAAATTCAAACACCTAAGTCAAGTATTTATTTTTCATGGTTTTTTTTTTTCTTGGGAGTGGGGGAAGGGGGGTGATTTATTTTAGCAACGCCCCTGGCTTTCAAAAAGTAGGTCAGAATATAAGTGGTGATTACTGTCTATGACGAATCGCTCAACTTCCTAGCTCTCGTCCTACACTAGAATTTTTTTTTTGGGTTTTTTTTTTTTTTTACTTTTTTTTTTTTTTGGTTTTTTTTTTGTCAACTTTTATTTATTTTCGTTGCTCACATTTTGCCTACAGCTATAGTTTTTTAAAATGTGTGTGTGTCAATGTTTTTATTTTTTATTTTTAGTTTTTTTTAGTTTTTTTCAACTTTTTAATTACTTTTTTTTTATGGTTTTCACGAAAAGAATAACGAGGATAATTTAAACTGTCATGTTTGTCCAAGCTAATAACGATACAATTTTTACAAAACGGGAATAAAATTAATTAATAACCGGCACGTTTTATTGCGTAATCGGTGCTCGAATATGCATTAAATGCGAGGATCGATTATTTCCATACATAAACCGAAACGAGATTTGCATCAGGCCTTAGTTTTCGGTGAAAATGTCATCGAGGCGAATGGATGCAGAAAAACGGCTAAAGAGTCATTCTTAAAATAATGGTGATGTCTGGGCTGGAATTATACGACAGGGGAGGAGTGGTGGGGGGTGAGGGGAGGGGGGGGGGGGGGGGTTAAGCTGGAACTATGGTACCAGACTGTGTTTACAGCGGTAGCAGACGAGAGAGTTTCCGTTGCCATCGTCCTGCTGGCGTGGCCCAGGTCGTCCGGCACGCGTGCTGTGTGCACACACACACACACAAACACTCACACTCACGCACGCCCGCGTACACACACACTCACACTCACACACGCGCACACACTCGCGCGCCCCTCTCACCCTACACACCAGTCTGCAGTGAAAAAGAGAGAGGGGGGGAGCTATCGATTCTGGCGGTGACCTCATCCCACAGAAGCTCCAAGCCCGGCTCCATCGATACAGAAGTGTAGCCGCTGCCGGCTGAATATTTCTCTGGGATATTAATACATTTTTTTTTTTACCAAATTGTGAGTACCTATCAACGTCTTTATCAGCTACTCGTCTCGTCTTTTAACTCGTCTTCCGAATTACACTGTTTAAAATCACACTGTTTAAAATCTTATTTCTGAATAGTTATTAGGTTACAATAAAGATTTTTAAAGCTTACACTGGAATTGTTCCTCCCTAGTGTATGTCCTTTATGATAAAAAAGGCATCCATTTTGATTTATTTAAATGGAATCGATAAGGTTTAAACGTTGGGGGTTTAATGTTTAGGCCGGTATGTTTGAATGACGTTAATACCTTGATGGTTGGGTGGGTGACTGACGTAAGTGTCTAGAAATGCCAGACTGGCATGTATGTTTGACGTGGTTTTGACAGACGTGTGTTCGAATGTGTGTTTTTGAGTTGTGGAATGCTTGGGAGAAAATAATTCTGGGACGGATGAAAATGTTTGACGGATAGAAATTTTTTGACGGATGGGAATGCTGTGCAGCTCTGTTGATGTGTGACAGACAGCAGCAACTTCTGCTGTAGTATGATAGACGAGCTTCTTCTAATGTAATTCTATGACAGGCGTGTATTTCTTTACATGCTACGACAGACAAGTACCCCCCCCCCCCTCTCTGATATTGTATGACAGATGTATTTCCCCGATTTTTGTATGACAGACATATTTCTTCCGATGCTGTAAGTTTGACAGACAGGATTCCTCTGAAGATGTATGACAGACTGGTATTCTCTGATGTTGTATGACGGATCCCAATCCTCTGTATATACTGCGATATAAGATAACACAAAGCCCCGATAAATAGTCATATGACGTCATTTGTTTATTATAATAGTATCGAAAGAACTGCAATTTAGATATGATAAAGATCACGATAAATAATCATTTAGTTTTAATTTAGCAGAAACTCTCAGTGTTGACACAAAAAATAAACAAAGGATATAGTTTAAACTGCAATATTCGCCAGTCGAAAGTCTATAAATAAATCAATGCGTAAATTCTGGAACTTTCGTCACGTAAACAGTTTTAGTACCTTAATAAGTGGGGGGGGGGGGGTGGAATTTATGCGCAGGCATATTTGACTTTTGATCTCGCCGGGTTTTTTTAAAACACAAGACCAAAACAACAATGTAAGTTTCTGTGATTTATAATTCAATTTAAAAATATTTCTTTTTTTTTTTAAGGTTTCTTCGTTCATCGGGCCATAGTGACACTGGGACCTTCCCCTGGCCAGTAATTTTGGTCAGTGGAAGCCAAAATTTTATTGATTTTTGGCCGCGCTACTCAGGAGGGATTGGCACAAAGATGGCGGACTTTGAAGACGAGGGTAGTGCCAGACTGGCAGCGCAGACTGGTGAGTAACGGCTTTGGATTCTGTCGTGTTTCGCTTCCTCGTCTAACTGTGGGCGAGGGACTGTTTAGCTGCATAGCTGGAACACTTCACAGCCATAACGTGAAGATTGTTGTGACAACTCAAATCGATTATCGTGACATTGGTGTTTTATTTTTTATTGAAGAATGTTTCACGAAAAGTTGACACGACTTTCATAAGAATGCTAAAAATTTCTCCAAATGGTTTTAATTGTTTACAAAAAAAAAAATGCGTATTTACTGAAATATATAAAGGATTTAGTTTATTTTTGAAAAACTTAAAACAACTTTTACATTTGAGGAAACAATTAATGCTCGATTTCAACTAACATTTTACATTTTTACAAATTTTTTTCTGCTCATAAAAAATCTGTAGTTTCAACTATCTTGTTTACTAAACACAAAAGTTCGACCCTTAGCATATTTTTTCGCAATTTCTTTAAAATTGATAATCAAATGCTTCGAAAATTAATTTGTTTTTTGATGACTGGTTTAAAATATCTTTGCTTAAAAAATCGTATCAGTTATTGCAATCGATGTAAACTATACCCCTAGCAACAAGCATTCCAAACATATGCATCACAAACCACCTAGTATCTGCCACTGTCATCAAATTCTACTATCATACACATCACAACTACCCACTACCATCAAAGTCTACCATCATACTCATCACATCTACCCACTAGCATCAACCTCATTACAAGCTACTTCCTACCACGATATGATATACCCAAACCATCACTAACTTTACTCTGCCACCATTAAATATGCCATCACTAATTATGTAACCCCTACCAACCCCATCTAACCCCTACCATCACCATCTAACCCCTACCATCACCATCTAACCATACCATCACCATCTAACCCCTACCATCCCCATCTTACCCCTACCATCACCATCCAACCCCTACCATCACCATCTAACCCTATCCTAACAACACAACCAACACAACACCAGCCCTACCCATCCAGCGGGTATCACCACATTTAATTTGATAGCCCTCTAGTCGCTGGAGATCAGATAACATCACATAACCCAGGTCCAAGTTAAGTGCCAAAGGATCAAGTAACCTAAACCACTTAACCATGACCTGATTAAACTACCCAAAAAATTCATTAACAACGCCTAGCTTAGCACACACAAAAAACAAAAACAACTTCTAATAAAAGAACATGCCTTGCATTTCTTCCCCCGCTTCTGAATTCCACGTTCCTAGGCCGTGCCCTTTTTCTACAATACCTTGGGTTATCTCCCCTGCTACAATACCTTCGCATTATCTCCCCTTCCTACTCAGTCTAATCTCGCGTGAAGGATGCTGGGACGGTGCGTCCTGTCTACTGTCTGTCGTTACCGGGTAATGCTCTGCGCAAGTGTGCGGATGGGGGTGCGGGTGTGGAGGGAGGAAGGGTGGATGGGGGGGGGGGGTGGATATCGTGTTGTGTCCATTTTTAAACAAGCGTCTTCAGCCAACTTTAAGCTAAACGTCACACGCTAGACATCCAACATTCATTTTCAACAAAACCATACACAAACGTCCAAAACATCCAACTTTCCTCTAGAACCACGATAAAAAAACCTTTTTTTTTTCTAACGGAAATCAACGTTTATTTTTTAATCACCCTAATAAACACCCATCAACACTATTCAACACGTAGCCTTAGATAACACAACATGTGCCGTGACTTAGAAAACCTTTTTATTTAAAATCACGAAATAAATAATTGATACTCATAAAAATGTTTGAAAATAAATGTTAACTGTAAGTCACAGGAAAAAATAGTTTTAAACTTTAAAATTCATTTCCAGAAACAATTTTGTAATAAGTGATGCATTATTTTTTTTCTTTATTTCAACAACCCCCCCCCCACCCCACCCCAGCCCAACCCCCCCCCCCCCCCCTTTTCACGACTCATGATACATGAACCTGTAACATTTTAAAGCATCGACGTTGATGTTCTAGTATTTTTTTTTTATTATTAAAGCATTCCGTTTACATTTTTAACTCCTCCCCCCCCCCCCCACACCCCTACCTTACTATAACATAAGATTGGACCACCCCGTTGTTTTTTTTAAGTTATAAAAAATATCTCAATGTTTATATAACTTTATCTTCCGTGTCCGACATATTCGCCCATCAGACACGAAACTTTCCCGAAATATTATCAAGAACATGCATGTGCTTCTACCAAAGGGGGGTGTGGCGGGGGGGGGGGGGGTTGTTCGTCCCAGGGTGTCTTTAGTGAAGGGCACCGTACAACACGAACTCGCGCGTTCGCGTGTGGAGGCAAGTCGAGTGTTTTTAAGTCAAAAGACGAGGGAGGTAAAGAAAAATATATTTACATTGTAAAATGTCAATGGGTTTTGAAACTAACGCAAAGACAGCTTTAATAAATGTTATCAGCCGAAAAAAAAAATTAAAAATTAATCAAAAAACACTTCTGTTTGATAGAACGTACTCCAGAATTAACCCCCCCCCCCCCCACACACACACACACACCACAATATTTTTATGAAAAATACGTTATCAGCCACTGTTTTCAACCATCCCGCTCCCCACCCTTAAAAATTATTTATTTCCCTTTGACAAAAATACCCCCCTCCCCCTCGCCCTTTCATACTACAGATCTAATATCACGAAAGACATCACTAATTGATATAAAGCTTGCTGTTTGATGTGTTTGTTGACAAAATGTGCGTAATTTGATTGGTATAGATTTACCAGCGTTATAAATACGTAATGGCGTGAAAGATGACTGGATATATATATATATATATATATATATATATTATATATATATATATATATATATATATATATATATATATATATATATATATACATATATATATATATATATATCCCATGACTTTCGCTTCAAGGGATGTCACTGTGTCTTATTTATCTTAAGAAACCATTACTTCCCTTCTCCCTGCTTTGAGATACTATTTAAATACTAGATAAATGGCCCGTTGAGGAAGGGTACAACGGGCGCTAGGCTGATAGTGCTGTCTCTTTTCTCTAAACTAAAACCACCCCCCACCCCCCCACACACCCCACCCCCCACCCCCCCCCCCCACCCCACACACCACCCCCCCCCACCCCTCCACCACCCCCCACCCCCAAAAAAAACATGTATACCGTCCCATTCAACGAAATATAATTATATACTTTTTCCAGTGTCCGCCCCCTCCCCGAAAATTCTAACCCCCGCCCCCGAAAATTTCAAGTACCCCCACCCCTCTCCGGGGAGGAAAAAGTCTAAACTAAAACCACCCCACCCCCCACACACACCACCCCCACCCCCCCCCCACACACACCACCCCCCCCACCCCCCACACACACCACCCCCCCCACCCACCGCCCCCCCCCCCCCAAAAAAAAAACATGTCTACCGTCCCATTCAACGAAATATAATTATATACTTTTTCCAGTGCCCGCCCCCTCCCCGAAAATTCTACCCCCGCCACCGAAAATTTCAAGTACCCCCACCCCTCTCCGGGGAGGAAAAAGTCTAAACTAAAACCACCCCACCCCCCCCCACACACACCACCCCCCACCCCCCCCCACACCACCCCCCCCCCCCCCCCCACACACACACCACCACCCCCCCCCACCCCCCCCCCCACCCCAAAAAAAAAACATGTCTACCGTCCCATTCAACGAAATATAATTATATACTTTTTCCAGTGTCCGCCCCCTCCCCGAAAATTCTACCCCCGCCCCCGAAAATTTCAAGTACCCTCACCCCTCTCCGTGGAGGAAAAAGTCCTGAAAGAAACACTGGTGTCGCGCATAGCCACTACGCGAAGAATTGCATTAAAGAAATTGCAAGAAAACCACTTTTTTAGATTAGACACATTAATTAGGTGGTAATTTTATTATAGAGTATCGATGAGGAAATTTCTTTTGAGTTGGGGAGGGGGGGGGGGGCTCAGACGTTCTTACGCGGGGGGTGGGGCTTCGCCCCTACCCGAAGAATTGTATGCAAGAAACTCTTCACGCAAACCATTAAGATTAGACAACATTTCCTTTTTATTCAATGTTAACGCGAAAATCAATGACGTCATATAACTGTGAGCACTCTCTGGGTTTGAGATTATTTTCTACTCTGTGCTAAATGTGTCGACGTCATACTTCGTTTTTTCGAATTACTGTGCATGTTTTTAAATTGCTTGTCTTTTCTCTAGAGCGTTCTTGTCAGACAGATAGATAGATAGATAGATAGATAGATAGATAGATAGATAGATAGATAGATAGATAGATAGATAGATAGATAGATAGATAGATAGATAGATAGATAGATAGAGAGACAGCGAAACTATTATTATAGACTAGATAAATGGCCCGTTGAGGAAGGGTACAACGGGCGCTAGGCTGATAGTGCTGTCTCTTTTCTCTAAACTAAAACCAACCCACCCCCCCACACACCACCCCCCACCCCCCACCCCCCCCCCCGACCCCCAGACACCACCCCCACCCCCCACCCACACACCACCCCCACCCCCACACACCATCCCCACCCCCCCACCCCCACCCCCCACACACACCACCCCCCTCCAACCCCCCCCCCCTCCACCGCCCCCCCCCCCAAAAAAAAAAACCATGTCTACCGTCCCATTCAACGAAATATAATTATATACTTTTTCCAGTGTCCGCCCCTCCCAGAAAAATTCTACCCCCGCCCCCGAAAATTTCAAGTACCCCCCACCCCTCTCCGGGGAGGAAAAAGTCTGAAAGAAACACTGAAACCAACCCACCCCCCACACACCACCCCCACCCCCACACACCATCCCCACCCCCACCCCCACCCCCCACACACACCACCCCCTCCACACACCGCCCCCCCACCCCCACCCCCACCCCTCCAACCCCCCCCCCCTCCACCGCCCCCCCCCCCAAAAAAAAAAAACCATGTCTACCGTCCCATTCAACGAAATATAATTATATACTTTTTCCAGTGTCCGCCCCCTCCCAG